GTAGACATGCTATTTACGGATCGTCAGATACTCGACAGGACAGATATGTGGGTGTAGGCTTCACAGCAAGGGAAATGGGAGCTGTCGCTTTGAAGCAAGCAGGATTCTAATACGCATCTCCTCTCCCTCGATTGTGCCGTATAACCTAACCCAGCTGATGCGTGACTCGGGATTCGTTGATGAGACTGAGTGTGAAGTTGCAGTTACTGTGGACAGAAACATGAATGTGAACTCGAACTGTGTCTTTTTTGTATCAATACCTTGTGAAAAGTTACAGAATATCAAATCAATTAGCCTGCCAACCTCTGTAATATTATAACATGTCTTTTAATATATAATAACAATGATTTTAAGAGCTTACACATAATTTATAAGGCTTAGTTGTGTATGTTACAGAATTGTTTTTGTTTGAAATGGTGATTCTGTTAGTATCTGCTGGCTAAACTTGTAATGTATCAAATCAAGTAGCCAACTAATCTTCATGAGATTCGTACATAACATTCTATAGATAGTGGTAGAAATTTAGAGTGCCTAATTGTAATTTTTGGCGGTCAATTTTAGATACTACAGTTTTTACATATTCAGGACAGTTATTGTGAGTATCATCAAATAAGCATAGTTTTAGTTATATAAGTCCAAGTAATCATTCTTATCTCAATTTTTTTACAGATATATACTATAATAGTCAAAATATAATTTTTAAATATGTCATATACATGTACTATAACACTTTTGAGAAGTAATCTACAAATCTTTTGAATTTTAGTTGAGGTGAACATCTCGCGACACAAATCACGTGATATATTGCCATTCTAAGAAATTATGCAAGTAGCAGTAATGAAACGTAAGACATCACCCAGATCAGACGGAGGACAGGGACTATCACATGAATTTCGCACGGAGCTCTCTCCAGGACAGATCCGGAAAGAAACATTCTTTCAGCTAGCTGCTAGCGTAGGTTGCACTTTTTCTGTCTGTATTTCACTCTACAGTGCCTGGGGTATCCTCTGTCCCCCAGGCATTCTGTAGCTTTGTAAGCACAGTGTGTTGTATATAACTGTGCCCCGTGGTAGATAGCATCCGGCCTCCCCAGTACCGTGTACTGTCAACCAACCTTTGCCTCCACACAGATTAATGTTGTCTGATCATCCAGAGCCTGACTGGGATTTAGGTAAGTGCTTAACATCTTCAGAATAGTCAGTTAACAGGAATTTTCATAAAACACGTAGTTCCTGACGTCAAGTTGTTTGAGACTCAATCGTCCCACATGTCTCGCAACCTCAGCAATGGATATTCTGAGCAACGTACACCAACAACACTGTATCGAAGGAGCCTGCCTAACCGTATTAAAGTGCTTGAATACATCACACCCTTGACAATGCCACCCAGCAGCTATATTCTGTGCACGAATTCGCTCGGTCCTGAACGTAGCCCGATTCAAGGGTCCGTTACACACCTCATGCCTTACGATGACGGAAGCGACAGCCCTCCTTCATCGATCAGAAATGTAGATTCGAGTTCTTCGGCTTCCATTGAAGACTATGATTGGGCTTGTGATATTACAACGGCCGCAACTCCTTCAGCAGGTACGAGGATTGCCTCGTGACATGTGCATGCATCATTGTGTTGATTTCTACGTAAAGAGAAGTTGCCTGCTGAGGTAGAAAGGTTTCTGTATCAGCTAAAGAGTGGGGCTGCTCTGGTGCGTGTTATTGATAAGCCCCTAAAACAGCTACCTAGTTTCTCTGTAGGAGGTTTCAATGCCGATGTCTCTTTACAGTGCCCACTGTACAGAAATCCAGAATTTCATTGGTTCACCGGTTTGTAAATTGACATTCTCTATTTTCATGACACGCCTTGACCTCTCCAGCAGGTTGTCTGTCGCCCCGGTTCCGATGGAATTGGATATATACACCACTGCGATGACTTCAAAAATCGAAGTATTCTCCGATCCCCTGCGTGCAACACTCTCTCCACATCAAAGAGCTGGCCAGAGGGCAAAATGCCCTACAGTATGCATGAACGAATCAAAGCGATTTTCTCAGAGGCTGCTCGACAAATGATCAACAATGTTGTGCCTGGGTTCAATGCAACAACAAAGTATTCTAGGGATGGACGATCGTATCAGGTAGGATCTCCATTTTGTACATATTGCATTTGCTAATCGGAACCAGCTGGACGACAATCTTCACCTACTAAGGTCTCATCAGCCACGAGGCAACACTCATCCAAGGGAACCTAAGTACTGGATACCAGACGTTGCTGTTTCTGTCGATGGGGACGCTTTCTTCCTTATTGAGGTTGCGCATACCCAGGGTACACAAGATGTGGTCGCTCGGGTTCAGAACTGGTTTCTAAATAACGCTGTTCGCATTACAATGGGGGTGGACATTATAGAGGGACCCTTCAGAATCGGGACGATGGCGAAAGACTGCAACGACAATATGCTTTCAGCAGAAGAATTCCACGCACAAAAACATTTAAATGAGAAGCTTGGTGGATGGTACTGGACAGTGCATGGGGCAGAGCGGGTCTTTGTAGGGCAGGTGACGATCGAGGTGTTCTTGGCCTGGCGCATGAGAGTTGACGGTGTTTGGCACATCATGACCAGAGGACCGGTACGTTTGCTGTCAAGGTTACACTTCTATGACTGAAACGCCTGATAGATAA